AGAAACTGAACTGACACTTCACAGAAGACATATAAATGGCCAACAAATATATGAAAAAATGTTTAACATCACTAGTAATTAGAGAAATCCAAATTAAAACTGCATCAAGATTTCACCTCACTCCAGTCAGAATGGCAATTATTGAGAATATAAGGAACAGTAAATGTTGGCGAGGATGTGGGGAAAAAGGTACATTCACACATTGCTGGTGGGACTGCAAATTGGTGCAGCCCCACCAATTTGGAAAGCAGTACTGAGATTCCTCAGAAAATCTGGAATGAAACCACCATTTGATCTGTTATCCTACTTCTCAGCAAATACCCAAAGGACTTAAAATCAGCATACTATAGTGACGTGGACATCAATGTTCATAGCAGCTCAATTCACAATAGCTAAGCTATGGAACCGGGTGTCCTTCAACAGAAGAATAGATAAAGAAAATGTGATACATGTACACAATAGAATATTACTTAGCCATAAGGAAGAATGAAATTGTGGCATTTGCTGGTAAATGGATGGAATTGGAGACTATCATGCTAAGTGAAATAAGCCCCAAAACCCAAAGGGTCAATTTTCTCTCTGATATGCAGATGGAGAAGGGATGGGAATGGAGAAAGACAGGAGAATGAATTGAACATATAGCTTTCCTATGTGTTCCCTATGAATACAAGATCAGTGTAACTCCACATCATGTACAACCAAAAGAATGGGAATTTATATTTCATGTATATATGATATCTCAAAATACATTCTACTGTCATGTATAACTAAAAAGAACAAATAAAAACATAAAAAAAGAAGGTAAGGCAGTGCAAGCACTATGTAAAAAGGTATGATAATTTCTTTTAAAAAAATATAATTATCATATAATCCTGCAATTCTATTTCTTGATATATTTCCAAAACAACTAAAAAGCATTCAGTTATTTTTATACCCATGTTCAGAGCAGCATTCTTCATAACAACAAAAGCAACCCAAGTGTCCACTGACAAATGAATGGCTAAACAAAATGTGGCGCGCGCGTGCGCGCACACACGCACACTCGCACACACACACACACACACATAATGGAATATTATTGAGACTTCAAAAGGAAGGGAATTTTTAAGCATGCATTATTCATGCTGCAGCAGGGATAAATCATGAAGACATTATGCTAAGTGAAACAAGCCAGTCACAAAAGGACAAATATTGTATGATTCCACCATAGTATTAAAATTCATATAAACAGGAGAATGTTGGTTGCTACAGACTGGAAGGAGAGAAATAGGGAGTTAGTGGTTAATGGATAAAAAGTTTCAGTTTGGGGGCTGGGGCTGGGGCTCAGTGGTAGAGCGCTCACCTAGCATGCGCGAGGCCCTGGGTTAGATCCTCAGCACCACATAAAAATAAACAAATGAAGTAAAGATATAAAAATAAATATTTAAAAAAGTTTCAGTTTGGTATGATAAAGATCTTCTACAGAATTTAGTCATTATTTCTGCATGGGCTGTCATCCAAAAATGCTGTATATTATTTCTTCTTTTTCACATGTATTGATGGTCCTTTTTTTTGCATCCTTTATATATAATTAAGTCTTATTTTTAAAAAAATTTTTTTAAGTTGTTGATTGACCTTTATTTTATTTATTTGTATGTGGTGGTGAGAATCACCCAGTGCCTCATGCATGCTAGGCAAGCGCTCTACCACTGAGCCACAATCCCAGCCCCAAGGCCTTTTTAAAAAATAATATTTTTAGTTGTAGTTGGACACATTACCTTTATTTATTTATTTTTATGTGGTGCTGAGGATGGAACACAGGGCCCCAACATGTGCTAGGCAAGCGCTCTACCGCTGAGCCACAACCCCAGCCCTATAATTAAGTCTTATGAGTGGTCATTATACTTGTAATAAGGTACATTTTCTTGTTTCCAAGTCACAGGCAGATTTTCATATCAGATGGAACTAAAATGTAATTTGCTTATTTATTTAGGTCTTCAATATTCTTTTCATTGTGGGTGGAGTACCGGGGATTGAACTCAGGGGCCATATCTATCACCAGCCCCATTATGTAATTTATTTAGAGACAGGGACTCACTGAGTCGCTTAGCGCCTTGCTTTTGCTGAGGCTGGCTTTGAACTCGCAATTCTCTAGTTTCAGCTTTCTGAGCTGCTGGAATTATAGGTGTGTGCTAACACACACACCAGTCTTCAATATTCTTAAGACTCTTTCTCTAATAAATCAAGTGAATGAAAATAAATTACCAATCTGTTCTGTGTTTAAAAAAAATCTTCTGGAGATAAATAACGGTAATGTGGTAATGGTAGCACAACACTATGAATGCACTAAAATCACAGAATTCTATACCTAAAAGTGGTTAAAATGGTAAATTTTCTGGGTATTTCACCCCAATAAAAGGAAAAAAAGAAAACATATTAAGGACTGCTTAAGTGCGGGATTAGAAACCTGTAGAATGGTGGGTGTAGATTTGGTTTTACACTGAAAGGTCTTCAAATACAAATCTTTTCTCTTGGACTGGTCAGTTTTCCATAGGCAAGAATTCTATAATCTCTAGCCAGGGTCCTCTTCACAGTACATTAAATGTTGTTAAGTACAATGTTCTAGCTCATTTATATGTTCATTGTATGTACCTCTCTTCCCTGACTCAAGCACAGCTAGTTTAAGGCAGAGATTTAGGACCTTTTTAAAAAATTTCTATATCCCCAGGGGCATTCATAGTGTTGTGCTACCATTACCGTGCAAATGTTAGGAGGCACCCAATAAGTATCTGTTGAATGAATGAACCAACTACTTGTGCAGGACTGTATTTTCAGAAACTCCATAAAACTCAAATCCTTAAATTACATGTGTAATCTTATTCTCATTTTATGAGGTAGGACACAGGGAGACTAGGTAAACTGTCTGCAGGAACTAAGGTCACAATGGGATTAAAAAAGTGGGGTCTGTGTGACCTCACTGGCTCAAGTTAATCATTGTATTTTATGGCCCTTTATGTATGCCTGTGTATATATGTATATATATACACATACATACACATATTTTCATAAACACTAAATATAGCTAAAAATTGTATAGTATAAGAATCTGTTACTTTACCACATGGTAATGTCATAACCCTTGAGTTATGATCTGACATATAATTTGAATATATTACCCAAATTTATGTGTCTAATTCTAAAGAGAAACCAACCAAATAAAATATACCTAGTATATCCACAAATCATGTCAAGAACAATGGTTGAAGAAATTAGAATTATTTAGCCCAACTATGGGTAAGGGTGGAGGGGCACAAAGGCATGACAAAGGTAGAATAAGACCACAGACTTCTGCATTAGATAATTGCCCTCTTTATTAGCAGTGTCACCTTGGGTAAGTCACCATAAGCTTTGTTTATTCACCTGCAAAATGGGGAATAACAAAAATACCTACCACCTAGCATCTAGCCTAAAGTAATGATAAGGATTAAACTAACAAATACATTTAACACAGTACTGGGCACACATTAAGTCAAAGTTTTGTTGCTATTAATGATCAGTCTTTAAATATTAAAAAGTCTTAAAGAGTATGTGTGTGGAGGAGGAGGTGAATTACTACTATTGAAAGACACGGTTACTGCTGCAAATGTATTATATTTGAGCATGGGGGGAAAGTCCCCAAGACATAGAAATGGGTGTGAGGCAAACTGCTGCTTATAGTCTAACTCTGATTAACAAAGAATTATCGGTTTCACTAGGACTATTTATATCTTCATGACTCCTTTGCTTGGCACCCAAAGTCATCCAAGTAAAAGGGATAGCATGAGATATTAGAAAAAGTAACTAGTATCCAGATAAGAATTCTAGTCCTACCATTGATCCTAACTAGTAGTGTGATGGGGGATAAGCCATAGGAATAGGAGGAAAAGAATAGAACAGTTTATTAGCTGATTGGTATCCAAACTTCAACATTTATTTTACCCTGTTTAGACTGGGGTTGAGGGTGGTGGCAGGTGGTGCTGGGGATTGAACACAGGACTTGCGTATGCTAGGCCATGGCTCTATCACTGCTACAGCCCTCCATTCTAAGATTTATTTCAGAAATGCACTTTCTCATGAAATAATGAAGGTTTTTCTTTAAAAAAGCAATTATAGTACTAAATTAGAAATTTATTTGGAGTCTTTCAATCTATGCTTTAAAATCCCTGCCATTTGGAGCCAAATGGTAATCTAATCATTTATCATTTAGAGTTATCTTCCTATATGACTAGTGATTACAGCTGAATCACTAGTCATATAGTACTACTGTGAAGTAGCTTTCACAGAGAAAGGCAGTGGAGAGCAATGGTGTGCACTGGGTACTGTAGAACCTGAGTGCCTAGATTCCACAACAGCTGGCTCACTATGGAAGCTGGCTGATTTCCAGAAGGAAACTAAGGTCAAGAAGGCTTATCTGTGATTACAATAGTACCTATTATTTCACAGGATTAAGACTTAACACAACGACTAACTCTCTATATAAATTTACAATCATGATCAAGTCTTGACACAAACTTCAAGGAACTATTAAACAAAAAAAGCTAAAGCAATGTTGGGCTATTTCAAGATGATACAATTTTTTTTTTTTTTCCTATGAGGAAGAAAAACCAATTGTAGGGGCACTTATTCTAGAAAAGATATTTTACAAAATTGCCTCATTTTCCAATATGGTCACTAGTTTTGTTGACAACAAAAACAGTGTGCTTTCTCTCTTTTAAAAATTCTTTATTCAGAGAAATATTTTAAAGTTTAAAGAGGACTTCCTCCTTACTTTTGACATTTTCTAAATTATAAAATAGTGCATGTATATTTTAACAAGTGAAACAAGACTAAGACTATAATAAAGTCAAAGCTAATTCTCTCTTCCAGTATCTATTTCTAATCCCAGACCCTACAAGAATCAAGATCAACACTACAAAACTTTTTACAAATTCATTTATTTTTCCTTTAAAAAATTACTACAAATATGATACTCAAAAGCTTACCTCCAGGTATATTGATGGTGGATTATGCTCCCCACCGAATTTGTCCAGTAGGGCCTCTATATGTTCCTGTGTCAACTTAATCATTTGTTTGATATTCCACACCTAAAAAATATATATATATTTTAAAAGAATAAAGATAAATAAAGATCATTTAGTATATCCCAGGCCCTCCATCAGAAAGGTAAATGTAAATGTAAATGTTTAGGGTTGGTATGTAACCTTTAATGTTCCCTTTTGACTCATGTAGAAAACAAATACATATGTATGTAAAACATACAAATACACATAAATATTATATAAAACATTTTGACATTTTTCCCACTAAATAACAATGCCTCAAAATTCTTCCCACATTAGTACACCTCTATTTTACTCCTCCTAATGGCCGAATAAATGTTCATTTTATAATCTTTCTATATTCTAATTTCAATGATCTCCACACTTCAATGGTAACCAGGGGTGAGGTGAACACGATAATTTTAAGAAAATCAATTTCCAGATCCTCAGTTTCCCTCTGTACTGTACTCTCCTTAACTGATTTGCTTAAGGACTAATTCTGGGCTGGGGATGTAATTCAGTGACACTGGTGGCCTAGTATGCATGAGGCGCTGAGTTCCATTCCCAGAACTGCAAAAACAAAACAAAACACACACACTAACAGCCTCCTTCAAAACACAAACCAATGGGCTAGGGATGTGGCTCAAGTGGTAGCGCGCTCGCCTGGCATGCGCGGGGCACTGGGTTCGATCCTCAGCACCACATACAAGTAAAATAAAGATGTTGTGTCCACTGAAAACTAAAACAAAATTACATCTTAAAAAACAAAAAAACACAAAAAAAGCAGAACTAGTTCTTCTTGCCCACCTCCCCTATTAAAATCATCATTTAAAAGAAAGGTAAAGTTCTTATCCACCTCAAATACTGCTAAAATGCACTACTCTGAGATGTAAAAACTCCAAAGTATCTCATAAATAGATCATTAAAAGAGGGGAAATTGAAAAGGGGGAAAAGATAAAAATTAAGGGAAACACCTGTTTTATCAATGAAATGGATTTCTGTAAGGTCCCAAGTCTTATTCATTATCTAGCCATTCAGCACAGAATTCAGAAGTCTAAGTAGTTATAACAAAGGCACATATTAACATATTTTGGGGGGTTGGTGGTGGGGGTACTGGGGAATGAACTCAGGGGCACTCAACTATTGAGCCACATTCCCAGCCCTATTTTATATTTTATTTTGAGACAGGGTCTCACTGAGTTGCTTAGTGCCCTTGCAATCCTCCTGTCTCAGCCTCCTGAGCCGCTGGGATTACAAGTGTGCGTCACTGTGCCCGGCAACACATTTGTTTTAAGATAACATAAAAGGGTCAGAACTTTTTTCTTGATGAACGATGTTGTCCAATTTATCTAGTTTCACAGAGAGAACTGGCTTGCAAATTATGTGGCAGTCTTATGTATAAACCAAACATTTCAATCTGAAGTTTTTAAGGTGACCCAAAAGTGTATTTAACATTATAAATGCAATACTCAGTAGAAATTATGGCCTTTTAAACTATTAAAGTTATAATGAAAAGATGTGATGCCAGGAGAGACGGTGTGCACCTGCAGTCTCAACTACTCAGGAGGCTGAGGCAGGAGGATCACTTGAGCCCAGGAATTTGAGGCCAGCCCAGGCAATATATTGAGACCTCATTTAAAATTAAAAAAGTACTATACCTAAAAAAAGAATAAATAAATAAATATTTAAAAAAATTTTTTAAAGTACAAACGGAAATAAATGAGTAGAGGGTTTAAAAATCCTTTAATAATTAATAATTCCCATCTTAGAGTACATTTATGTTATTCCATTTTTATCAACCTCAATGCTTCAATGAATAGTTCTGAACTGCCTTTCTGGGCAAAGATGCAAGTCTTCAATATTTAGGTAAAGGATTCATGGAGAGAAGGGTTTTTTTTCCCCTCCTTCCTATTTCTTTTCTACTCCCGCCCTCCCTTTCTTCCTTTTTCAGTCCTGGGAATTGAACACAGGTCCTCACACAGGTTAAGCAAGCATTCCAACGCTGAGCCACAACCCCTACCCCATATATTTAAAATTTTAATAAATATGCCAAATGTCTCTCAAAAGAAGAAATGTCAAAAGCTATACTCCTGTTTACATGGTATGAGCCCTCCCCTTTTCTCCACAAACCTTACCAACATTAGGCATTAACAAACTTTCTAAAAGGGACATAAGGAGTTTGGGTTGTTTTAATTTGCATTTTCTAGAAAGTTGGGTGTTACTGGCCACCCGTGTTGTTAGAAAATTCTCTATATTGTACTCCCCTTTGTTCTACAGGGTTGTTTTTTCTTGTTGGTTAATTTCTTATCTATAGATACTCTTTATTCTGGATGGTAATCCTTATTTTTCTACAAATATTATAGTCTTTCAGTTGTTTTACATTTGGCCTTTTTTTTTTTAAAGAGAGAGAGAGAATTTTTTAATATTTATTTTTCAGTTCTAGGCAGACACAACATCTTTGTTTGTATGTGGTGCTGAGGATGGAACCCGGGCCACACGCATGCCAGGCGAGCGCGCTACCTCTTGAGCCACATCCCCAGCCCCTACATTTGGCCTTTTCTTTTTTTTTTTTTTTGGTACCAGGGCTTGAGCTGAGAGCAGGGCTTAACCAATGAGCTATATCCCCATCACCTGTTTATTTTGAGATACATTCTTGCTAAATTACTGAATACCCTGCTAAATTGCTGGGGTTGGCTTCGAATTTGCAATCTGCCTTGGCCTCCTGAGTTGCTGGAATAATAGGCATGTGCCACTGTGCCTGGCTTCACTTTGTTCCTTTTAACAAAATGATTCAAATGCACATCAAAGCTTGAGAAGTGATGACAGAAGTTTTAAATTTTTTCTATTGTTAGATATTATAACATTTTATTTTATGATGACTTTGTTAATTTATTTCCCAAAAGGGCAAATTAGATGTCTTCTTTTCTCTAGCTATGCTTATTTCCTAGGCAATGTCATCTAATCTTGTGACTTTATACGTCTACTATGAACATATTTAGTCCAAATTTTAACATCCAGCTCTGTCTTCTCTCAACTCTTTCCAACTGCCTACAGAACATCTCTACTAGAATAACTAATAGACACCTCAAACTTAGCATGTTCAAAACCTAAATTCTGATCTTTTCACCAACCAAAACTGGGGTTTTTTTTTTAGTTATTTTTTTACTCAGAAAATGACAAACTTCATTTCTTTGAGTTGCTAAAACCATCCTTGACTCTCATTTTCAAAACTGACATCTAATCCATCTCCAAATCAAAAGATATATTCACTTTCTCTACCATTACCACCTTAGTCTAAGTCACTATAATTTCTCTTAATTTACAGCCAATTGTCTCTGAAGGTCACTCTATTTCATGTTTAGAATGAAATAGTAGGTAATCTTTTTAATTTTCACTTTTAAAATATATTTTAACTTACACATAGTACAATATTTATGGGATACATATTTATGGGGTATAGTGTGACATTTTAATACATGTACATAATGTTCAATGATTACATTAGAATGACTGGTATATCTATCACCTCGGACAGATATCACTGCTTTATTTTGAGAACATTCAAAATTCTATTGGTTATTCTGAAATAGTAAGTTAATTATTGTCATAGTTAGCCTATGTGCCATAGAACTTCATTAAGCTTAATCCTCCTATCCAATTGTACCCACATATTCACTAGCCATCCTCTCTTTATCCCTACTCCCCCATGCTCTTCCCATTACTCTATTCTTTACTCCTTTCAGAGCAATTTTTAGATCCTATCTGTGAGGATGTGTGATATTTGGTTTTCTGTGCCTGATTTATTTAACATAATGTTCTCCAGTGCCATTCATGTTGCTGCCAACGACAGAATTTTGTTATTTTTTATGGCTTAATAATATTCCACTGTGTACACCCCAAACTACAACTACAGATCACCTGTCAATCTTTTGCTCAAAATGCTCCAATAGTTTCCCAAGTAAAAATCACCAACGCCTTTATAGAAGTCTAGAAGGTATTACATGATCTGGCCCTCTGCTACTTGTTTATCCTGATCTTTTACTGTTTTCCCCTTCTTCCTTTGACTAAATCTCACTTGGTCTTTTAAACATGCCAAGTATAATTCCAATGCAAGAATATGCAAGTACTAAATCTGGAGTACTCTTTCCCTAAGATTTCTTTTTACATGGTTTGTGAGCATACCAAGTTCATTCATCTCTTTATTCCAGTGTCACCTTATCAGAAGGGCAGCAGTTTTTGTCTTGTTTTGTTTTCTGATATACTCCCAGCACCTAGAACAGTGCTTAGCATGTTGTAAACACTCAAATATATATGCTAAGAAAAATGAATACTCAGTTTAGATCTTCCCTCTATGTAAGTTCACTGACAATCTAGGCAAAAATGCTTTGTGAGTCAGGATTTTATATCTTTTACTTGATTACATTTTTCAGGTTTATTTAGCTAATTGAAGATCAGAAATATGGTTATTCATCTTTTCGTGCCCTCATCACTTGATGTCTTAGTCACAACAGAGATTCAATTAAAACAAAACATTGAAGCTATTTTTAGAACAGGGTATAAAGAATAAAAATTAATCCCAGTTCAGTGGTTCTTCACTTTGCCCAGTAAATTCAGGAGTGTATTATACACAGTCTTCCCCCTCCCCCAAAAGTTTTTTACCTAGAACACATTTTCACTTGGCATTAACAACTGCTTCCCTAATGTATGGGAAAGAGAAAGGGAAAAAAATAATTAGGTGGGGGAGGAATGAACATGGGGGAAATGAAGAGACTGAGCTAATCATGTACTTTTCTTTCTAGGAACCAGAAAATAAGACTGTTTTGGGAGGGCAAGGTAGGGCCATACCATGAGAGTTGGAAGTTGCGTTTTTTTTGTTTTTATTTTTTAATATTTAGTATTCAGTTTTAGTTGGACACAATATCTTTATTTTATTTTTATGTGGTGCTGAGAATCGAACCCAGTGCTTCATGAGTGCCAGGCGAGCACTCTACCATTTGAGCCACAACCCCAGACCAGAAGTTGCATTTCTTATTTTTGCAAAAGAA